GGAGTTGAAGTCCACATGTCTTAAAATTGCCAAGTTTGAGGAACACTGCTTTAGAGGGTGCCCTCTTTTCCCTTTTTCTTTTCACTTCTCCTGCCCCCCCTTAAAAAACAGGGAGGTGGGGTGGTAAAGGACTAAGAGTTGAATTTTCAGCCCTGCTGGGTCCCTGATTTGGAAAGTGTTTAGTAAAATACATGCATTAAGCCTGTGCAAGGCTTGGCCCTCTTACTTATTCATCACTGAGGAACGAGACGCAGAATAATTCACCAAATGTGGGGCTGAATCATAGTGCTATGATTTCGGGGTTTACAGGATCTAGTCCCGGGGTTTAAATGTGATTTGGCCAGGCTTTTGGGGCGGGGGCTGTCCACACAAGCGTAATATTTAGGCCTACCGTCCAAGCCAAAGGGTCCTTTGCAGGCTGTGCTACAGATTTCTGCTTACAGGCCCAAGGAGAATCCAAGGGACAGCAGCGTCTCCCAGGTGTGGTCAAAAAAGTCAAGGTGGCGAGTTGGCTGCGGTGTTGTGTCACCATCTTGATTTTTTTTAACCATACTCCGTGGACACTCCTGTAAGGGGACAAGGTGCACAACATCTTTATCTGTTCTAACTCTGTCCTGTAGCAAATCTCTCTCTCTCTCTCTCTCTCAATCGGGGTTGGTGCTTGGATGGGAGACCACTAGGAAGTCCCAAAGCTGTAAACTCAGCTAGGCAGTTGTGCAGTCAATTACAAGTGACTCTGATTGTGACTCAAGGGAGCCGTTCCCTTTCCCCCACCCATATTACAGATTATGTCAAGCGAATGAGTTGATTAGGGCTGAGTTAAGAGTTCCTGAGAGTTTTCCTGATGTAGCCTAAGAGTAGGAAGGAGCATCGTACATTCCACCAAGCTAGAGCCTCCAGATGTGCTGGAATTGCAACTCCCAGAATCCTAAGCTGTCGCATCTGGAAGGTCTCAGATGTACAAAATCGGGGCTGGAATTCAAAGACTGCTTGGCCAGGAGTGTCTGGACGGAGCTTCTGATCAGAAAACTCAAACCTTGTTCTATTCCAATAAACCTGCTTTAGGGAAGCTAATCTTACCTTGGCACAAAGAAACCTACGTGGCCTTTTCCATGAAATCACCAGGAATCAAGTCTGCCTTTACCTTTTATTAAGCCTCAGTTATCGTTTGTAGATTTTATAGCTGTTCTCGGTGGAAGAATATAAATATTTGTACCAGTACACAGGCTCCAACTATCAGCTGATACTTAGCTTAGTGGTGACCTTGGAAGATTAATCTCTGAGTGTGGAGGAATGTTATCCAGAGAATAAAGTTATTGCAGCTCTACCCCAGGTGAGGAAGAGATCCTGATTCTAAGCCAGACCTAAAGATTTTATCCTCCTTTAGGTGCAGATCCATGAACTGAAGGTCCATGTTCTCCTCAATTTAACCTTTTCGAAAATTACATCTTTGTTTATTTCACAGTATTTGTAGCAAAAGACTCTGTCTGGCTCACCACTATCAAACACATCATAAAGCATCATAAAAACATAATAAAAACACACAATCATTAAACATACCTAATAAACCTCATACAAGTGAAACAAGCCTTAGCAAAGAGACACCAGGGACAGTCACCGATCTTCAAGACCAACCGATCTTCATTTGTTTCTAAGCAAGCTGCAGAATAAAGTCCTCCCAACTTCCAGAGGAAGAAGATTCCACGGGGCCAGAGGGCCACGGAAAAGACCTGCCTTTGGGCTCCGGCCCCCAACTACCATGGGGAGATTCTTCTTGGAGGAGGCAGCCCTCCAGAAACTGAAGGCTTTGTTCCACAAAGGCTGCTTTTATAGGAATGGCCAACACTTGGAACCGTACCTGTAACCCTACAGTATTAGTCACCAGTGCTTTTCCTGCACAACCCTGCTAGATCCAAGCCTGTTAGTAGTTTCCAAACTTCAAGGGTGTCTGCAGGATGTATCAAAAAAGTGAAGATGGTGGTTGAGACAGTGTGACCGAAGTTCTGCCTGTCTTTTACGTGCAATGCAGCCACCATCAAACACGGAGATCAGGGCATCGCTGCTGCCAAAGCATCCTGCTCCAGAAATGGGTGCATCTGGTGCACCAGCCAAAGCTTGGTGAAGGCTCTCCTGGTTATGTTCTCCACGATACTTAAGCAGGAGCCATCAGTCCATCATAACCCCCTGGCCTGGACCAGTTCCTCTTGGGGTAGAGTGATCCCATCAAGAGCTAAAGATGGAAGAACACTGCATTCAAGTGATACTGGATGAACAAGTCCACAGCATCTCCTGGTTGGTCCAAGATGTACTGCTGGGTATTATCCATGCCCTGGTAATAGCTTACCCTGAACTAGCAGATGCCTCCCAGTGCTTTCATATAGATGGTGAATAAATGGGGCCTTGGAGTACTCCACGCAGGAATGGCTAAGGGCTGAACCTCTTATTCCCCTGCTATCACCAATAGGGCCTCAGGAAGGA